CTGACATGGAACGATCATATTGAGGAACTAGTGAAGAAGAGTTCTCGGAAGCTGTATTTTTTAAAACAACTTAAGCGTACGCAAATACCATCAAACGATTTGGTTACATATTATTGTGCATGCGTTAGATCTTCTTTGGACTATGCATGCCCAGTATACCATAGCTCTCTACCAAGTTACCTACATGACGACCTGGAAAAGGTCCAAAAGAGAGCTTTAGCGTGCATTTTCCCAGGAATACCTTATTCTGATGCTTTGGTATTGGCGAAAATACCCCCTATTAAAGACCACCACAGCACAATTACAAAGAAACTGTTCCAGTCCATATCCAAGAACCCAAAAAACAAAATCCATCACCTGATTCCAAGTGCTAACAAAAATCCTAAATACAATCTTAGGAAAAATAGGAAATTTTCACTACCACTAGTAAGAACAAAAAGATTCTCAGACTCATTTATTATGCGTGTAGTGTAGATTATTATTAAAATCTCTAACAATATAGATTTTATAACTTTTAAAATAAGACTTTGACTCTTAAAGAAATTTTAGTTAGTAAAGTAGTTAAGTTGTAAATTTTTTGTAAAAGTTGCGCAATTCAGTGTAAAACTGCAAGGTAACTTATTAAATAATCTATCTATCTGTCATGAAATTCAATCGAAAGATTCACCAAATATCAATCCGCGATAAAACAAATTATCCAATCCATATGAAAGGCATTCTAACGCACAATTCATTACCGACAATAGAACAACAAATAGGCAATTTCTTGTTAAAAATTACCAACGTAATTTAGTGTATTTAAACTTGTATTTTACATCATAGTTGGGCCATTGTGTGATCGAAGTATGCGCGTTTAAGCTATAATTTCGCAAGAAATACATATCTGAGATTCCTTTTACCTATCAGTAATGTTTTTACGTACATTGTTACTTATATTTTTGAAGTTACAATGCAAACCAGACAGCTTGAATTTTAGAAATCGAAGTTTTCCTGCCTCTACATCGCATTCTACCATATTGTTTTATATAGGACAGGCTGCAATCGACTGGCTAGGAAGATGGCGGACCCCGAGCATGCGCATAAAAATTTGGTAACATGTTGCATCCCCGAGTGGCCCTTCTGGTCCTCTCCTTATTCTGTGCCACTGTTAAAGCTGAATGGCTACGCTTTAAAGTGAATGTAAACTTTAATGTCTATTATTTGTTTAGCAATTTACATTTCAGTCGAGGATTGCGCTTTTTTGATACACCCTGTATAGCAAATTGTTCTAACATATTGTCTGGATCGTTATTAGTATTAGCTACAGTCATCCACCGATTTAAATATCTACGAGTTATGTGAGCCCACTGGCCAAAATCTTCGCCAGCATGTTTTTCTGAATGGCGAAATTGATATCGGTAATGATCTACGTTAAGCTGATATGCATTCAAAATAGTCGCCTTACTTTTATCGTAATTTTGAGCATCTGGACCAACAATTTCTAAATCTATTGACTTAGCCTTCTCACTTAGCCGGGGTACTAAACTACCCAACCACTCTTCCTGTGGGAATAATTGAGCTCTAGCAGTCATCTCAAAAATGCGAAAATAATCATCAATATCCTCATTTTCTCTCATTTCCCATACTTCTACTACTTAAGGATCCCCATTGTTCATGGCTTAGCATGCTTTCAAAACTCCTGGGATCCTGGGGAATTTCACCCATCACGCCATAGTCATGGCTAATGTTGAAATATCACTTTGGGCACTTATTGTTTTAGAACGTAATTTAGATTGCTCCAAAACCTCTCTGTCAGTCCCCATTTCGATGTTTTTACCCTCTTTCTGCACTTCCCCAGACTTATCAACTACATCTGACAACTTATCATTTGTTCTTAATTTTGAAGACAGAGTTTTCACACCGTCTTTTGAACTAAATTCTATTTGACGTTCCTGACATTCATCTTGTAAACCGTCTAATGACAAATTATCATAACCACTCATTTTCCGCTTGAAATACAGAGACCATTAAGTATTATACTTTGATAACAACCAAAAATCCTTCTTCCCAATTTTTCTCTTTTAACCAAACAGAAATCCAGTATTTAGAAATAATTCAGTGCCGATCAGTTAATAATCCCACCAATTGTGACGAATTTTTCCTCAATTCGTCAATGTGAGCGCCGGCACACAGGCAATGTTTATTCTAAGAAAACTTCATTACTTAACTGTTTAAAGAAATTATCTACTAATACATACGAGCCAGTTTGAAGAGAAGATTTCACGGCACTTCCACACTTCTTTTCCAGCGAATAGGTGTACAGTTATCTAGCCTTTTGTAGTTATCTTAGACAGTGGTCAAGCTCAACTTCAAATTACGGTTGAGTTACCATACACTGAACTTCGCATTGACCAGAGCGCTGGTTGTCATTGAAGACACCAACCATTCACTGCCCTTTAGTACGATCACCAAGATCATTTACTTGTGACTTCAACAACTTATCAAGTCCTTTTGACTTTCAATTCTCCACCCAAAGTACCATTTCTACCACGTGCCACTTCTCTTCGTTAAGCTTTTATGGCTCTCTCTTAGCACATGGTTGCCCCTTTTTATGGCAACAGAATTAATTTGCATCTACGTCATATTTACATCATGAATTATTTCTACGTCATATTTACATAATTCATTACACATAGAAGCGCTAATTTTTCCATTAGACGTTGTGTACAAGTTAAGAAATGTGTACAAGTTAAGAAATGTGTCCATGGTGGCAATTAAAAAATAGTTTAAGGTTTAAAAGAAAATGGCAATAAATATTATGTTTGGCTATAATTTGAGAGAGTATTGAGATCATGTACAAATTCTTTTAAGTCACCCCCCACACCCACATGTGAGTAATAATGTAATGAAGCAGACATAATTTATTTAGAATGTTCGAATCATACAGACCAGGGAATGCTTTATAAAAAATATCCACAGTAAACAATCATACACATACTTTGTATCATACCTTCTCAAATTCATAATAATTCATGAGCAATTCAGGCAATGATAAACACCTATTTGATCACAAGATGCCATTTCGATAACCCAGTGAAACTTGATGAAAGTCACTAGTGTTCTCATCAAATATCTTAATTACATATGCAAAATTACTTGAATAGAATTCCCAATTATGTTAGGCTTGGTTAAGAATTCTATTCAAATCAGCAAACGAAAACATTCTGTTATGTCTCGATTCATTTGAGAAGCCATATAAACAACTTGGGCTTGTGTCTCACCAGGATATCCAAACACTCGAAAACAATGTATGTTTTGTACATTGATTTTGTACATTGTTTTCTTGTGTTTGGATATTCAGTGAAACACTCGCTCTCGTTGTTCATATATTACATACCATATCATACCATGGCCATACCGTACCATGCGACGGACAGTCTAGTTATATATAATGAGATCAACAGAATGCATAAATGTATCAATTCATTTATATATTGAGTTAAGATGTCTCAGAAATCAATAGCCTGTGAAAAGGCTCTCCTGCCAGCAGACTAAGAAATCAAACATGGCCGCCGCAGGCTGCTGACAGTTGTTAACTTTAAATCTTCACAATTTGTATAAATTTTGAAAAATGGTGAGTAAAATTAAATTTGTTTACATCCCAGTAACTCTGTATACACTTGAATGACTTTATTTAAGCTTACACAAGAAAGTTGATTGTCGAAAGTTCTACTAGACATAATTTTACAAGTTAGTACTTAATACAGTCACATGACAAAGCTGGGATAACAGCTTACAGAGCAGCAGAAGTTGTTTGTATTTTGACCAACCCTAAAAAATTGCAGTTATTTTATATTTCAAAGTCGTAGCTGACACAGCGCTCGGGGATGCGAGGCTTACAGTTGGAGGGCTGAAGTGGGCGTGGCCACAGAAAATAGTACCATCTTTGCAAATTTGAAATGATAAATCCAGAAAATTGTGCTCTCATTGCTTTGTGCAATCATCTCTCTGCTACCACAGTGATGTGGCCAGCCCTTCAATTGTACAGGCATCATGGAACAAACTAATGTGAATAAAAATATTTACTTGAAACTATGGCGGTTTGCCGAAGATGAGTTTTCTTAAGTTAGACACTTTTGCAAAAGGGGATATCAGCCATAGTTCTTCGCCATTCACGCAATAACCCATCAGGGGTAGCAAGTTCGCATGACGTATTTTCCTAAAACATTTAATTAAAAACCACATTAGTTAATTTACATGTCATAAGTTAATTATATTGGAGAATGTAGGAGTATTGAACATGATATCTCACAAGTTCGCTGCACTCAGATATCATGTTCACCACAAGAAATAAATCTGGTATGTATTTTCTGTTTATTATATAAACAAAATTCAGTGAAAAACAATAAAACGTCTGTGGCAATGCATTTTACAACAAATGATATTTTCACACGTAAAAAATAGATGCGTGTATCGTACATTACGAGTACCACGGTCAGTTTTTACACAGACATTACGGGGAGAAAACATTTTGTGAGGACCTGGGTAAGTCCCCACAATGTTTTTCACCAATTCCGTCTTCTAAAAAAGCCACATTGGAAATAAATAATGCTATTTTGATTCATTAATACTGATTAGTTTCATTTTATCGCCTATCAAAAAACAAATAATAAACCCAGAAATGTTGTTTGCTATCAAGTCCCCACAACTACATTTGGCATGTTTTGGATGCCACTTGTGTAAAAAATGTTGGATGCCTTAGGGGGTCTTGAGACAAATACTTTTGCATAAGGGGGGGGGACTTCGCTCGAAAAGTGAATTCTCTCTTATGGGAGATACACAGTTAACTTCTTACTATTATTATGCATACATATAATTTATCCTGGGAGGTCGAGCGGGATATTTATCTTCAAATATCAATTTGAAAGCAGCTAACTCATCACAATCACTTTTGACCGAGCAAATAGACTCTTAAAAATTAAAGCCCAGCATAAAATTTTAATTCCACATGAAACCAGAGACTAAATTAAAATACAGTTATTACACAAATTATTAAAACTTACAAGACAAGCAATCCCAATAGGAAAACTGAGTTAAGAGGAAGAATACTGCAGCATTAAAGATGAGGAGAATTAAAGGTCCCCACACACCGGACGCGATTCGGCAATGCGGCGCAATTTTTCATTTTTCAAAAGCAAATAAATCGGTGTACAATAGAAAACTTTGGTGGATATGAAAAGTAGTTGACTAAGATCGGCAAATCAAAATAGCATTATTTATTTCGAATGTGGCTTTTTTAGAAGACGGAAATGGTCGAAAACGTTGCGGGATTTGACCCAGGTCCTCACAAAATGTTGGGTCCCCGTAAAGTCTGTGTAAAAACTGACCGCGGTACTTGTAATGTTTTTTTTGTTTTGTTTTTTTAAATACTTTATTGGGTAAATATAATAATTATTTACAAAAGACGTACTAATACTATACATGCGAAGAACGAATATTACCCAAATGGAAGAGGTGCGAACGGAACGTAAATAATTTGCGCTATCCATGCAAGGCACCTTTCCAACAGAATACATGTAAATATAGTTTACTATGTAAATACTAATAACAAGTTTATACAACAAGACAATTAACTCCTATGACAGGAACAGTCACGTGACATAGACCAAGTACATTATTATTATTATTATACAATATTAGATACTCCCAATTGGGCTTTTCAGGATCTAATTACAAATATAAAATTCTATATCTATAAAAGTATCTAAAAATGAATTTTGAGTTTTGACCTAAGGTATAAAATAGGCTATAGTTCTAAAATATTCTATAAATCTGTTAAACACCACTTACAGTTAAAAATTCTTCTAATAACATACGTTTGTATTCTACTTTAAAATGAGTCAAAGTATCAATGTTTTTAAGAGACTGAGGCAGAGAATTCCACAAGGACACAACCCTATAGTGAAATGTTCGTTGACTCGCAGCTGATCTGTACATTGGTATATCCAAAATGTTCTTTTGCCTTGTGTTAACGCCATGAACATCTGACCTGACATGGAACTTCTCACGTAAATACAATGGTGCCAACCCCTTCAAGCATTTGAAAGCAAAAATGGCTTCTCTTAATTTTAACATGTATTTAACTGGAAGCCAGCCCAGTTGTTGCAGAACAGGAGTCACGTGATCGTATTTTCTTGTTCCTGTAACAATACGTGCAGCAAAGTTCTGGACCGCTTGAAGTTTCTCGATATTTCTTTGGGATGTATTAGACCAAACAGTAGAGCAGTAATACATTTTGCTAAAAATCAGGGAATTTATAATAAGAATTAATGTTTTTCTGTCAAAGATATGTTTAACTCTGCTAATTTGGCCCAATCCAGCGATACAAGATGAAACAACGCTTGCGATATGTTCGTCGTAGCTCAAACATGAGTCCAATATCATCCCTAAATCCTTTGCAACAGCAACTGGAGTAATATTCTCACCAAGGATAGTTATTTGAAAATTTTTAGGTACCTGTTCTAACATTTGCCTAGTACCTAATATAAGCAACTTGGTTTTTTCTGGATTCACCAATAAACTGTTAAGACAGCACCAGGCGGTAATTCTTCGCATGTCTTCAGTGAGTTTCATAGCTGCCAACTCGGCATCCCTGATTGAGAATGCTAAATATATTTTTGAGTCATCCACGTACGACTCCAAATTGGACTCCTTGGGTACACCAGGCAAGTCGTTGATATATATATTAAATAACACCGGACCCAGTATCGATCCCTGCGGAACACCGCGAGTTATTTCACATTCATCAGATAACACTGACGCAATACGTACTGATTGGCACCTGCCTGTCAAATAGCTTTTAAACCAAAACAACGCAGGCTTCGAGATTCCAATATTCGAAAGTTTTCTTAGCAGAATGGAATGATCTAAGCTATCAAAAGCTTTAGACAAGTCCAGTAAGAGTAAAGCAGTCACTTCTCTACGATCCATGGACTGGAGAATTAAATCTGAGATGAATATGTTTAATGTTTCGGTTGAATGTAACTTCCTATTTCCACTTTGATGTTTAGTAAATTTTTTCTTCTTTGTCATATATTCTGTTAGCTGTTTCAATACCACACGTTCACAGATCTTAGATGCAGCCACTAACAACGACACGGGCCGATTATTATTCGGAATTTCATAATCCCCTTCCTTCAGAAGTGGGATAACCTCTGCTTTCTTCCAGGCTGTTGGGAAAACACCTGTTTCCAGGGAACAATTAACAATTTGCGTAAGTGTAGGAAGGATGTACGGTAAGGCGTCCTTGATCACAGCCATTGATACTTTGTCAAATCCTGGTGCCTTATTTGATGAAAAGGACATAACAACCCTACTTATTTCACTACACGATACTGAATGGAAATAAAACTGATCGATCTCAGGTATTTCGGTAGATGTTGGTGGATTCAGTATGGGTAGTCCATGTTCAGTAAGCAATGCCAATGCAGTTGCTGATGTATTTATCCCCACTGAGGTAAAAAAGGTATTGAATTCATTAGCTAATTTCTTAACATCTCCGGAATAACTTGGTTTCGTGGTCTCTTTACGTGGAACGCAGTTCCTGATGACTTTCCACATCGATGCTATATTTGGGTTAGTATATATTTCATTGTGTACATAATCTTTTTCTGCTTGGCGTAGCTTACATTTAACTTTATCTCGAAGTGCACGATATTTCTCCCAATCAGATGGCATTCGGGTTAGACGAGCAAATTTGTGTAATCTTTTTCTATTTTTCATCAGTTCTTTCATCTCATCGTCAACAAATGGTACTTGTCGATGTCTTATTTTCATTGTCTTAATTGGTGCATTCCTAGCCAATGCATTTTGAAAATTACTATCAAAATGCGACAGTTTATCATTTACATTTTCAACAAATAAATTCTCATGCCACGGAATACATGCCACGGAATACATGCCAAATCACAGAGGAATTGGTTTCGGTCGTAATGCTTATAACTCCTTGCAGTGATGCAAATTGGATGCGGTTTTATCAACTTTAGTTTGAGTGAACAGTAAACCAGAAAATGATCACTAATATAGGTTTCAAGCACTCCAATTTCTGCAATCAAATCTTTATTTGAAGTCATCATGACATCAATAAGCATTGACGAACGTGACGTGACCCTCGTCGGTTTATCAATTAACTGTGTCAAATTTAAGCAGTGACAAAAATCATTCAAAGCCTTTGCCTCTTGAGCTGTCTTTAACAAGTCGCAATTTAAGTCTCCAGCAATTATGATATCTTTACCAAAAGTGAGTGCTTTGATATAATTATCCATAAAATTGTTGGTAAAACAAGATACAGGACTATCTGGAGGTCGGTAACAAACGCATAATAGAAAAGATTTCAATTTTTTATGCTGAATTTGTAACCATAACTGATGAAAACCAGATTCTGAAATTTCTGTTCAATCCCTAAGCACCTTTTTTTTCAACGAGCTCTTGATATAGGCACACACACCCCCACCGGATCTCCCTCGCCGGTCCAATCTAGATAGACTGTATCCGAAAATTTCAACCTCTTCATTTCTCACACTGGACGTAAGCCAAGATTCCGACACGGCAAGTACATCAAGCATAGCTTGGACTATAACAAGAATTGGTACGCCAATCACGATTTGCTTTGCGGTTATCCAAAATCGAATAGAAGGGCTGATGAAAGTGCAGTCTTTCATCTGTTCTCAAGCGAAGTATGGAAGGTCAATATCGCTGATCTTCAAGACAGCAATGGCAACAGCCATCCTACCGTTGGTTCAATGGACGACGGCAGAAAGCGTATATTCTTTCTGGCGATGAGACAATGAAATCCAAGAGGAGAACGGCTGGAATCCAGCGCTTATCAGACCATCAAGAAGATAGTCAACACGTTGTACTTAGAGTAATTCAGCGGTCCGAGACAATTCTGAAGCTACACTAACAGTAACCATGAGCCAATTAGTCCCAGAAGCGCATTCGCATGAATCCTTACAACCGTCTTTTACAGGAAAAAACGACAAACAAGAGACATTTATTCTCACTGCACGCGCAAGAAACGTCTAAATAAAATTGAGAATGCGTTTCAGTTAGTTGAATTTCCGGCCCAAAACTCAAAGTCAGAGCGAACATATCCGATTCAGCATGGCCGAGACATTTCTCAAACTAACTCAGCCAGGTCGACGCACTGGGGTATGTTGATATTTGATACTGCTTGTTGATATTTTTGATACTCTATTTTTATAGAAACTTATACTCGGCCTGTCAATAAATATTGAATTTAAGCAATTTACGTATATTAAACCTAGTTTACAGCAAGTAACTGTTGTAAACAAAGAAAACGATAGGAAATGTTTTTAATTGTCACATCCCCGTACTATAATCTCGTTAGAAATATAAGCTAAAGTACGGCGTATTTTTGTACAATACCAGCCCTACTGGCATATTGACTTACATGGGCTATAAAGCTAGCGCATTTTATTATTAAGTTCCGAAAACGGCTATACAGGTAAAAGAGGAAACAGGTTAATAATTGAAGTTATAAGGTTGCAGTTATATATAGTGCTAACATATAGCCAGCATAGTAATACACTTCAGTTGAATTCAAAGGTTTAATCTAGGTGGCGAATGCCCAGGATAGTTAATTATTATAATATTATTGGGCATTGCGTCGTATTTTGAGGGCTAAAAATGTGCAAACTCGCCTGGTCAATGGTACTGGTAAAATGCCCTCTAATATTATAATCGTAAGATGAATTTGAGTCGTGACAAAAACATATTGATGCCCGCGAAAACCATCTCTATCGTTATATTAACCATAGCCGGCGGAACGTGGGAGGCCAGTTTTTTTTTGGGGGGGGGATGGGGAGGAGCTATAGCTCCCAAACTACTTATAGTGATACTAATACTATACTGCCAGTATAACAGCTACAATAAAACTAACAATTTTAATTTAAATATTTACGAAAAGCACAGATTTTGCAAGTCTTCCAACAAGTTACTATATAAAAATGGGGCACGACAATAAATACAGTTACTCAATTAACAAGATTAGTTGATGTCGAATGGTAGAAAGCCAGTCGTACATCGGTGTATATTTGGCATCAGTATATATACTTGCCTATACTGCATACTGTATACCTTGAGGCATTAAAACAGTAAGTAATTAAATTGCTGTTGTAAAATTAATGAGAATTTTTTAGTGGACACTTAAGAAGATGTAGTCATCTTTGCTTAATCAGCAACTTATATTCTTTAAATGAAGTTTAAAAGTATAACAAATTCTATAATTTTATCACAAGTTACTATTCCAGACATAAAAAATACACTGCTGTTGTACAGTATAAAAATTACTGAGAATTCTTTCAGTGGACGCTCTTGTGTCAGAAAGATGCAGTCATCTTTTGCTGACAGATTAAGAAGATGTAGTCATCTTTGCTTAATCAGTTGAAGCTCAAAGTCCTATCATAATTATTACACAGCAACTTATATCTAAATGAAAAGTATATAAATTCTGTAATTTTATCATAAGTTACTATTCAAGACATAAATGCACTGCTGTTGTACAGTATAAAAATTATGAGAATTCTTTCGGTGGACGCTCTTGTGTCAGAAAGATGCAGTCATCTTTTGCTGACAGATTAAGAAGATGTAGTCATCTTTGCTTAATCAGTTGAAGCTCAAAGTCGTATCATAATTATTACACAGCAACTTATATCTAAATGAAAAGTATAATAAATTCTATAATTTTATCATAAGTTACTATTCAAGACATAAAAAATACACTGCTGTTGTACAGTATAAAAATTATGAGAATTCTTTCAGTGGACGCTCTTGTGTCAGAAAGATGCAGTCATCTTTTGCTGACAGATTAAGAAGATGAAGTCATCTTTGCTTAATCAGTTGAAGCTCAAAGTCGTATCATAATTATTACACAGCAACTTATATCTAAATGAAAAGTATAATAAATTCTATAATTTTATATCATAAGTTACTATTCAAGACACAAAAATACACCGCTGTTGAACAGTATAAAAACTATGGGAATTCTTTTAGCGGACGCTCTTGTGTCAGAAAGATGTAGTCATCTTTTGCTGACAGATTAAGAAGATGTAGTCATCTTTGCTTAATCAGTTGAAGCTCAAAGTCGTATCATAATTATTACACAGCAACTTATATCTAAATGAAAAGTATAATAAATTCTATAATTTTATCATAAGTTACTATTCAGGACATAAAAAATGCACTGCTTTTGTACAGTATAAAAATTATGAGAATTCTTTCGGTGGACGCTCTTGTGTCAGAAAGATGCAGTCATCTTTTTCTGACAGATTAAGAATATGTAGTCATCTTTGCTTAATCAGTTGAAGCTCAAAGTCGTATCGTAATTATTACACAGCAACTTTTATCTAAATGAAAAGTATAATAAATTCTATAATTTTATCATAAGTTACTATTCAAGACACAAAAATACACTGCTGTTGAACAGTATAAAAATTATGGGAATTCTTTTAGTGGACGCTCTTGTGTCAGAACGATGTAGTCATCTTTTGCTGACAGATTAAGATGATGTAGTCATCTTTGCTTGATCAGTTAAAGCTGAAAGTCGTATCATAATTATTACACAGCATATTATATCTAAATAAAAAGTATAATAAATTCTATAACTTTATCACAAGTTACTATTCAAGACACAAACTGAAAATACGCTGCTGTTGTACAGTATAAATATTATGGGAATTCTTTTAGTGGACGCTCTTGTGTCAGAAAGATGCAGTCATCTTTTGATGATAGATTAGGAAGATGTAGTCATCTTTAATAAATCAGTTGAAGCTGGAAGTCGTATCATAATTGATAATTATTTTTCAGCATATTATAGCATTGCATTGTAGTGAATCATTTCAATCACTTGCTCAATAGTCAATAGGGCCATTTATACGGAAGAAAATAAGTCGCGACTTACATAAAACGCGAACACACTCGTATAAATGGTCAAATTCACTTCAAATTTTAGTTAATTGCGACTTACATAAGAACAATTAGGGTTTAGACTGGTCCACAATTAGTCGCGACTTACTAGAATTAGACCATTTATACAAGTGTGTTTGCGTCTTATGTATTAAAGTCGCGCATTTTCTCCCATATAACTAGAAATTAATGGCCCTAATAAGTTCTCCGTTTGGTAATATAAGTCTCTTCAAAAGCAAATACCAACAGACAATTCGAAGTTTTACGGCAATTTGTCCAAGAAAATTGCGAAATAGCTACTAATAGTTAGCTGCATGTCGAAAATTTGTATAGAATTTAACATCAAATGCAATTTGACCTTTGGCTTTGCGGTTAACCGTTATAGCGGTCTGCCGTAAAAGTCAATCTTATAAGAGTTAAGAGAAACATTGTTTGCGAAACATATAATGTGTTGCAGTCAAACATGACATTTCTTGAATACTGTATTATTATACTGCACGGAGCCTATTACTGAACTAAAGGAAAACCATAGCATAAAGAGACACGGATATTCATTGAGGAAATTAACCACTCTCACGAACATACAGCAAGGACATTCAAAGTAATTAGTTTGGCGAAAAAGCGAACCAAATTAGTTAGAGCGGTCACTATATATGCCTGTACTATAATACTGTGATAAACATAGTATAGAGCATATAGTCTATAGAACTAGAAACCCACTGAGAGAGAACGAATGGCGTTGACAGAATAAAACTTTCACACCCTTTTCTCTGTATATTAATTCTTGTTAATACAGAAGCAAGTCTTAAATATTTTGTAATCATCTGATCAAATTTCCCTCCCTATGTGTGTATTTTTAACTAATAACTTGTTAATAACAGATCTTAAAACAGAGCACCCATTGCGAACCAGTGAACTAATTACTGATTGATAACAGTTTTTTCCATTAAATTTAATGAGATAATGTAATTTGATTTCCGGACTTTTGCGTCTTCAAGACGCAAAAGTTGCATATTTTTGGTCGTGCGGGTCCTCATGTCCTCAGCGTCAGGAACCTTGCCCTCATCGTCACGAACCTTGTCCTCACCGTCAGGAACCTTGTCTTCAGCATCAGGAGCCTTGTCCTCACCGCAGGAACCTTGTCCTCGGTCAGGAACCTTGTCCTGACCGTCAGTAACCTTGTCCCCAGGGTCAGGAATCTTATCCTCAGCGTGAGGAACCCGTTTCCTCAGCATCAGGAAAATTGTCCTCAGCGTCAGGAGCCTTGTCCTCACCGTTAGGAACCTTGTCCTCACCGTCAGTAACCTTGTCCTCACCGTGAGGAACCTTGTCCTCAGTGTCAGGAACCTTGTCCTGACCGTCAGTAACCTTGTCCCCAGGGTCAGGAATCTTATCCTCAGCGTGAGGAACCCTGTCCTCAGCATCAGGAGCCTTGTCCTCAGCGTCAGGAATCTTGTCCTGACCGTCAGGAACCTTGTCCTCAGCGTGATGAACCTTGTCCTCAGCGTCAGGAACCTTGTCCTCATCGTCACGAACCTTGTCCTCACCGTCAGGAACCTTGTCTTCAGCGTCAGGAGCCTAGTCCTCAGCGCCAGGAACCTTAGGAACCTTGTCCTCACCGCCAGGAACTTTGTACCCCAGCGTCAGGAACCTTGTCCTTAGCGTCAGGAACCTTGTCCTCAGCGTCAGTAACCTTGTCCTCCGGGACAGGACCTTGTCCTCAGGATCAGGAACCTGGTCCTCAGCGTCAGGAACCTTGTCCTCACAGTCATGATCCTTGTCCTCAACGTCAGGAACCTTGTCCTCACCGTCAGGAACCTTGTCCTCACGTCAGAACCTTGTCCTCATCGTCAGGAACCTTGTCCTCACCGTCAGCAACCTTTCCTCAGCGTCCGGAACCTTGTCCTCAGTCAGGACCTTGTCCTCGCGTCAAACCTCCTCACCGTCAGGAACCTTGTCCTCAGCATCAGGAACCTTGTCCTCAGCGTCACAAACCGTGTCCTCACCGTCAGGAGCCTTGTCCTCAGTATCAGGAACGTTGTCGTCACCGTCAGGAACCTTGTCCTCACCGTCAGGAACCTTGTTCTCACCGTCAGGAACCTTATCCTCAGCGTCAGGAACCTTGTCCTCACCGTCAGGAACATCATCCTCACCACCAGGAACCTTGTTCTCACCGTCAGTAACCTTGTTCTCAGCGTCAGGAACCTTGTTGTCCTCACCGTCAGGAACCTTGTTCTCACCGTCAGGAACCTTATCCTCAGCGTCAGGAACCTTGTCCTCACCGTCAGGAACATCATCCTCACCACCAGGAACCTTGTTCTCACCGTCAGTAACCTTGTTCTCAGCGTCAGGAACCTTG